GCCGACCTGGAGGTGAAGATCCGGGACTGGTACCAGAAGCAGGGGCCGGGGCCCGCCCGCGACTACAGCCCCTACTTCAAGACCATCGAGGACCTGAGGAACAAGGTGTGTGGGCCAGCCAGCTCCCTGCCCTCTGCCTTGTGTCCTTACTACTTGCTTCTGACTCCCTCCCTCCCAACTTTGGACCTTTTCCAACATTTCTTCTCTTCCCTGGGTCTCCATCATTCATTGGTTCCTTCCTTCATTCACTTTCTCACTGGCATGACCATGGAAAGTCACTCTGGGGGTCCCTGAGGGAAGGAGCTATGTCTTCCTGCTCAGACTGGAAGCTCCCAAGGGAAGGGATTAAGTGAGTCTGAAGGAGAACACAACACATACCCACATGCTCATGACCTCTAAGAGCACGACCTTGGCATTCTGTGAACGGGGTGCCTGGGTCTTCTGCACGAGACCCGCCCCGGAGGGTCCTTTGGTGCTGCAGCCCGCGCCACCCCGAGGCAGGTGAGAGCTAAAAGAAATGCCGGGATGTTTAGGGGAGGCCAGGCTGGGGCCTGCTCTTTCCTGGTAGGGAGCCAGGTCTGGTGCTGCCCTGTGAGGGGCTTTGTCTGCTCCTTCCCGGGACCTCGGCCAGGAAGGGAATTCCTGCAATTGCCCCCTGGAAGCAGAACGACTGGGAGTGCCAGATCAGATATGGGCCTTGGTCTGAGCAGCAGGGAACCCAGGGGAGCCCTGGTGAGTCAGCGTTCCAAGCTTCGGGGTCAGCCAGCTCCTCACCACAACCCCCCTGTGCCCGAGCATCAGGCCTCCGCCCCTCTGAGTCACTGTGCCCCTTGGGGGTTTTCACAAGGGCCCCTTGCTAGGCCCAATCAGCCTCCTGAGCAGGGAGGTGGGTAGGAGACGGGTCTGTAGGCCACTGAGGCCAAGGATGGGTAACAACTTGGCCCTTGGGCTCACTCTGGAAACGGAGACCCAGGGTCACTTCACAGGGCCCCGAAGGGGACTCTGAGGCCCAGAACAAGGCTATTGGAGCTACTTTTTGGCTGCTGAGGCTGTTTCCTCTTACACCTTCTGCACATCAGCCCTCAGCCTTAAAAGCTTCCAGATTCTTCCCAGCTCATCTGCCACCTCCACTAAGACCTCCTCTCTTCTCCCTCTGGGCAGCATTTAGGGGCCTCCCTCTCCTTCCGCCCACGTGGCTCTGGAGTACAGCCTCTCAGCTTTTCTGACGATAACAGTGACAGCAGCAGTAATAATAACTGACCTTCTGCCCCCTCCAGAGCCCCTTCCCTGCTCTCATTTCAACCACTCAGGTGACCCTGGGGGAAGAGAGAACTTTGCTTTAGGTTTGAGGTGGGGCTGGTCATAATCTTGTTAACTAATTAATTAATTAATTAATTGCCTAATTAAACCAATGTTTCTTGGGGGCTGACTCTGGGCCAGGTACTTTGCCCAGGGCTAGGGATTCCGAAGAGAGTGATACAGATATGGCCTTGTCCCCCTGGAGCTGAGTCCAGTGGAGGAAATGACCAAAAAAGTTGTGGAGAAAATCACAGTTGGGAGAAGTGTTGTGAAGGAGATGGGCAGGGAGGAGGTGTGACCGGAAGGAGGCACACACACATGGGGTGTGTGGAGGAGGGCTTCCTGGAGGAGGGGGCAACCGAGCCTAGAGGTGATCTCAGTTGGGGAAGAGAGAGTGAGGTCCACGGGAATATTATGGGTCTCTCCTGACCTCATGGTTACCTGTGCCTGGGCACTGCGCCCTCACCACTCTGTGGGCCCTCTCACAGGGTGCCCCGAGGGGGAGATTGCGGGGCCCTCATCTCCTCTATCTGGTCCACTCGCCAAAAGGGCTGCAAGAAGGGTGTTGCGGGGCCTTCCCAGGGTGCTTGCTCACCCAGCCCACTGTGCCTCCCAGATCCTGGCGGCCACCATCGACAATGCCAGCTTGGTGCTGCAGATCGACAACGCCCGTCTGGCAGCTGATGACTTCCGCAACAAGTGAGCCTGCGCCTCCAGGGTTGTCCCCCGGGGGCGGGTGTTGGGCCCGGCTCTGCACAGCAGAGCTCTCTGTGCATACAAGGGGGTGTCCTGGGGCGCTCCTTGGCTCATGCCTCCACCCTTTCCAGGTACGAGACTGAGCTGAACCTGCGGATGACCGTGGAGGCCGACACCAATGGCCTGCGCAGGGTGCTGGATGAGCTGACCCTGGCCAGGGCCGACCTGGAGATGCAGATTGAGAATCTCAAAGAGGAGCTGGCCTTCCTGAAGAAGAACCACGAGGAGGTGAGGCTGTCCTGGAAGTGTAGGAGAAACTCACCTGGGAACAAGCAAGGCTGGGGCTCCCAAATCTTCCTGGGCCAAGGCCATGCTCTCAGTCTAGTTCTGGCCCTGAACCTGGGAGACCCTCAGGGGGCCCTGCACGAGGCCTGGAGGACCCTCTCCCCCCAAAGATACTTCCCTTGTCCCTCAAGGCACGACCTATTGAATGGTGGCAGTTAACTATCTGATGAGCAAATCAGTCTAAGAACACGCATGCTAATTACTCTAATTAATTGTAATAGTGATAGTCATAACAACAACCAAAATCTGCTCAGCACATTACAAGTGATTCATGGCAATTATCTCAGCTGATACTGACAGTGGCCCTGGGAGAAGGGTGCTCTTTCCTTCCCTCACCAGTGAAGAGACTGAGGCTCAGAGAGGTGAAGGGATTTATCCAGAGCAGCACAGGTCTTTCTGACCCATAGCCACACACACGTCTGACGCCACCGCTTTGCCACCTTCTCCCACCTCCCTTTTTCAGAGAGTCTTGGAGTCCTACAGACCCTAAGGCTCAGCCCAAGGGTCAGGATCCCAGACCCTGTAGGGGGACTAATGAGCCTCCGGCTTCCTTCTGGGCCAACCTCTGGGCTGGCCCACGCTAGGGGAGTCTAATCTTGGAGAAGCAGGAGCCCAGAAAGCGTCTCCACTTGGCTTTGAGGCTGGTCATACAGATTGTGTCCCCGCCCCAGCAGATTAACATCTCCTAGCAAGTTCTGGTTCTGCAGATGCCAGCATGGGACTGCTTCCCCTGTGCGGTTGGGGACAGGGGACGAGGCGGGTGGTCAGGGAGGTGAGTGAGGCTGTCCCGGCTCATCCCCTGATGGGCTGGGGAGTTACCATCTCTCCTCGCCCCACACACATTGGAACTGGGCAAAGTCCATCTCTGAGTGAGAGTTGGGGGAGATGGTCCATATTCACAGCCCTGCATGTTCAAGACAGGATCACATCCACCACCATCTTCAAGGGGAGGAGCCATTGGGCTGTCTGTCTGTGTCTGTCGGTCATTGGTACCCATCTCCCTGAGGGAGAGAGGCCCGGCCCCAGGGTTTCTCCCTGGGATGGCCCTGGTGAGCTCCTGTTCTGCTTTTGCCCAGGAAATGAACGCTCTGAGAGGACAGGTGGGCGGGGACGTCAGCGTGGAGATGGACGCCGCCCCCGGCGTGGACCTGAGCCGCATCCTGAACGAGATGCGCGACCAGTACGAGAAGATGGCGGAGAAGAACCGCAAGGACGCTGAGGACTGGTTCTTCAGCAAGGTGGGTGGCCGTGCGTGAGCAAGTGTGAACTTGCTCCATACGTGTGCTGGGTCCTGAGAACAGGCTGGAAAACTTGTAGATCACAGCTGTCCCAGCTGGAAGGACCTTTGGAAACCAGTTGGACCCACTGCTCATGTCCAGATGCAGATTGTGGGGCTCAGAGGGGCCTCAGGCTCACACAAGCCATGCTGCGGCCTGGGGAACGGATCCAGGGCCCGTCATCCCTGTCTGGGGCTTCCCCCAGCATATTTGTAGGTATGTGTGTGTTTGGATGAATACCTCATGCCCTTAGTAAACACACACCTAGCAGCTACAGTACCCAGGACAGTAACAGGCACAAAGAGAGTAAAAGCTGTTTTTGCGCAGTGCTCAGTAGGACTATTGAGTGCAAAGCACGGTGCGTCCACTGAGTCCCAGGGTGGGCACAGAGAGTGTCTGTGTGTGGGTGTGTTTGCAGCCCCCAGAGCCAGGGAGGGGCTGGGGGAGCAGGTCGGGGAGGTCAGGGCTCGGAGGTGGACCCTGTCCTCTGCCCCACCTCTGCAAGCCTTCTCAAGCCCCTGTGCACCACCCCCCAACCTTCCAGACGGAGGAGCTGAACCGTGAGGTGGCCACCAACACCGAGGCCCTGCAGAGCAGCAGGACGGAGATCACAGAGCTCCGCCGCTCCGTGCAGAATCTGGAGATTGAGCTGCAGTCCCAGCTCAGCATGGTAGGGCCTCCGACCCCCTCCCTGGCCTGTACCTGTCACCCCAGGGTGGGCCCAGCCTCTTAGACTTCCATTCGGAGGACCCGAAATCCCCACCCAGCCTGTCACTTCACATGGGTCCCTCTCTGCCTCTGTTACTGCCCCATGGTGCTGGCGGCACCCGCAAACCCACGCGGATGCGTCCCCCTTCTGGGTGCTGCGCCCTGGAGAAGGGTCCCAGCTGGGTCTCACCCAGCCACCCGTGCTTTGGCCCACAGAAAGCATCGCTGGAGGGCAGCCTGGCGGAGACCGAGGCCCGCTACGGGGCCCAGCTGGCCCAGTTGCAGGGGCTCATCAGCAACATCGAGCAGCAGCTGTGTGAGCTCCGCTGTGACATGGAGCGCCAGAACAACGAGTACCAGGTACTGCTGGACGTGAAGACACGGCTGGAGCAAGAGATCGCCACCTACCGCCGCCTGCTGGAGGGCGAGGACGCCCAGTGAGTGGGGGCACCGGGGCACACGCTTGGGTCGGTCGGGGGCCGCTGCATCCAGGCAGGGACGTTTGTGCTGGGGAGGTGCAGAGGTCTGCAGGAGGTGACACTGGCAGATACTGGCAGGGGTCCCGCTGTGAGGAGCATTGAAGGCCGAATGAAAGCGTCTGGACTAGACGGTGTGGGAAACGGGGAGCCACGGAGGGATTTTGCACAGAGGAGTGGTACTATCATCGAGATGTCTTAGAACGTTCGCTCTGGCTGCATAGGGAGAAATGCATCAGAAGGGCCCTGGTGGGGGCAGGGAGACCTGTCTGTCAGGAGGCAGGAGCAGGGAGTCGGGCCAGAGAAGCCCTGCTGTAAGGCGGGGGTGGAGGGCAGGGAGAGGCAGGTGGTGGGTGGAGAGGATGTGTTGTAGTTAAAAACAGCAGGGCTAGATGCCTGGACGTGGGGGCGAGCGTGGCTCCCTGGCGGGACGCAACACGTGTTGAGTGAGCCCACGAAGGAGCGGAGGACGATGACCCTGGGTTTCTGGTTCTGATGACTGGCTGGTGATGCCATTACCCGGGATGGGATAAGGAGCCGGGTGGGTGGTGATCTGGCTTGGAGCTGGGAGGGTACATCCGGGCCCCAGTGTAAAGGGGCTGAGAATGTCCTGGGATCTCCATGCTAAGTCACACATTCCAGCTTTTTGCTCCCTGACGATGGCAAAGCGCACCTATAGTCTAACCACTCTCTCTCCCGCTTTAAGAGAGTCTGTTTGTTGGGCCCTTTGGGATATGGAAAAACCACTTGCTCAGCTTCTCCTTGTAAATCCCTGGTTAGCCACAAAGTGCCTCTGGGCCTCCTGTGGGGGTGTCCCCTTTCCTTAGTCCTGCCCACGGGGCCGATGCCCTTTGACCCTTGTGGTATTCTCAGCTGTGATTTCTCTCTGGTTCGCTGGGACCCCTCTCCCCTCGCCCTAGTCCTCCCCAGCAGCTCCTTCTCCACGGGGCCGGGCTCCTGGCCCGCACCCCTGCACTGACAGGTCTCCCTCTCCCTCCCTGCAGCCTGGCCACCCAGTACTCCTCTTCCCTGATCTCACAGCCCACCCGGGAAGGTAAGAGCCTGCCCTGTCTGGCCCGAAGGGAGTGGGGAGAGGCCGGGGACCCGTCTGTGCGGGAGACTGGGGGAGGGGCTCGGGCCTGAGATTTCCTGTGCCCCCTCCTCCACCGCCTGCAGCCACAGTGACCACCCGCCAGGTGCGCACCATTATGGAGGAAGTCCAGGATGGCAAGGTGGTCTCCTCCCGCGAGCAGGTCCACCGCTCCACACACTGAGGCCCCTTTCCACCTGTGACAGCCCAGCCTCGAGGGTCACGGGGGAGCCATCGCCTTGGGCTCCCAGCATGCTAGTGCCGCACCCTGAGTGCCCATCTGGGCCACCAGCCAAGAGCTGTTGCCTTTCTGTATCTGTTTCCTGCAGCCCCTCACCGAGGGTCCTCCTAGAATTGCCCCAGTGTCTGCTATTAAAGCTTTGCCTGAAGTTCAATGCCTCGTGTGATCTGGTCCAGTCATTGGCTTGGGGCGGTGTGTGCTGAGGGACTGGGGAAGAGGACAGTTTGAGGGCTTGGGTGACACTTGTCACCTGCAAACCTGTTCTGTCCGCCTCATCCAGGCCTGGGGGGCTCCCGGGAGGCCAGAGGGAAGAAGGCAGGAGATTGAGGGCAAAGGGATGGGAGAGCACATCGAGATGGGAAAGTTTCTAAGAACCAGCCCGTGGGTCCCCATGGGCTGGTCCGCGGGAGGGCCCCATAGACTTTCTGGGGAACCACACCTCTTCTAGAGAACTCCCTGCCTCAGCCTGGGGCAGGTCTGGGTTCAAGATCAGGGGGAGAAGGGCTGGGCAGGGGGGCTTTCTAAAGGCACGGTCCAAGGTGTTGATGGGTGAGAGGGGGTGGCGGTGGCACGGCCAGCCCAGGAAACCAGCTTGGCCCAGCTCGGGGAGTCTGTGGGGCGGGGTGGCTGCTGTGTGTGTGAGCGTGGGGGGCGTCCTGTTTGCTCTGGTGGCTTGGCAGCTGCCGGGCTGTTGGGGAATCTCTCTCAGCTGCTAGGAGGGGATGTCTGGGCCTGCCTGGGAAGTGGAAGCCATCAGCAATCTGGGACACGGCCACATTCCATTCAGCGAGCCTGCCGGGACCCCGGGACCCAGGGCTGGGCTGAGGGTGGTGGGCAGGGCGGGTGGGGGCCCCATGAGAGGACTGGGGTGGGCTTTTGGGGGAGGCTTCGGGGTGGGAAGGACTCGCTGGGGGTTCTCAGGAAGACCCTTAGGCAGTGTCCTTTATATTTCCATCTGGCCGGCACTTGAGGTGGCTGCCCCTCACCTCACCCTGAGGCCTCTTTGGGTACAGGAGGGATAAGGAGAGTGGCCAGGGGCACGGCTGTCCTTTCACAGGGAGGGTCTCCCCCCACCCCCCAACCCCCCACCCCCGGCTTGCCACTTAAGCTCTCTACTTAAGCTCTTCCTTGCCCACCCTGGCCCAGGAGGGAGGTGGGGAAAGGTTAGAGGGGCAGGCTGGGTCCCTGGGGTTTCCAGGGATAGGGGCAGTGTGGCTAGATGGAATCACAGCTCCTGGAGCTGGTGCCAGGGCTCTTCAGAGGGCGGGGGCAGCATGTCGGGGGCTGTGGGAAGTGTTGGGCTCTGTGGCACACTGGGGATGAAGGAAGCAGGAGCCCTGCCAGCCCGGTTCTGCGGTCAGATGGGCCAGTGGGACACTATCCCTCTCGAAGTTTCCTTATCTGTAAAATGGGGTGGTAACCTGAGAGTCGCTGTGTTGTGTGGTGAGCCTAGTGGGCTTAAGTCCAGTGTCCAAGGTGGGACAGGGTCTCAGTCCTCACCCTCTCCCCAGCACCCAGCCCCGGGCCAAGACTGTGGTGTGGCATGTGGTGAAGGAGACCGGCCATAGGCTGGGGTCTGCCTGGTTCCCCGACCGGTTTCCCTGCCAGACACGGGGGCCCGGTGGGCTGGGCTGGGGTGGCAGCTGCCTGGGAGGGCCCGGTGACGGTGACGTCCTGCTTCTCCTCTTCTCCGTATTAGGTCATGGGAAAGCATAGCTGGAGGGCCTGCCTGAATCACAGGTGACAGGCCTGAGACCAGAGACATGCACTCGCGCAGACACCCAGCACGGGGGTTCCGGGAAATGAGGCAAAGCCCCGATGGTGGGAGGGGAGGGGGCTGGCAGCCACCTGGGAGCTGGCAGGCAGCCAGCAGTGATGAAAGCCCAGGAGAATGGAAACAGAGGAGCGAGCTTGTTGTAATCGCTACGCCCACTTGTCGATCTATAAAGGCGGCGGGCGAGTCCCGGCAGCCACAAGCACCTCGGACCTCTCTCCTCTCTCGCCCTCTTGTTCTGTGCCTGCCTGCCACCCGCCGCTGCCACCATGACCACCACCATCCGCCAGTTCACCTCCTCCAGCTCCATCAAGGGCTCCTCTGGTCTGGGGGGCGGCTCGTCCCGCACCTCCTGCCGGCTGTCTGGCAGCCTGGGCCCTGGCTCCTGCAGGCTGGGGTCTGCGGGGGGCCTGGGCAGTGCCCTCGGGGGCAGCAGCTATTCGAGCTGCTACAGCTTTGGCTCTGGCAGTGGTTACGGCGGCAGCTTTGGGGCCGTGGACGGGCTGCTGGCGGGTGGGGAGAAGGCCACCATGCAGAACCTCAACGACCGGCTGGCCTCCTACCTGGACAAGGTGCGCGCCCTGGAGGAGGCCAACACTGAGCTGGAGGTGAAGATCCGGGACTGGTACCAGAAGCAGGCCCCGGGGCCCGCCCGTGACTACAGCCACTACTACCAGACCATCGAGGACCTGAAGAACAAGGTAGGGCCTGCTGGTGGGACAGAGCCTTTGGGGGGCATGGCCTCTCCTCCCCCCCCGTCTGGTATCCTTGACCATGGCCTGGAGTCAGCCTAGGGGGCTGCCACGGGCTCTCAGGGAGCCGAGGACAGCTTGGCTCTGGGTTGGCCTCTGGGAACCCACCTTGGAGCCACTGTGTGGCCCACATTCCCCTTTACAGGGGGGCAGCAGTCTGGGCCAGGGACAAGTGAGCCTCATGGAGCTCCTCTGAGCCTCAGTTTCCTCAGCACAGAGCTTGTTGCCGCCACCTCATGTCATTGGAGGATAAGATGAGTGGATGCGCGTAGAGGCTGGGCCCATGGGCTGCCAGATACGTGGGCATCTCTCTTCTTGAAGCAAGAGGGGGATTTTGGGTGATGGTGGGGTGAGGGATCTAGTGAGTTCAAGACGGCACCTGCTGGGAGGAGGAGGTGGAGACAGGGGGCGGGACCTCAGGAAGGCCTCTGTGTGTCTTATTTGGGGATTTTTCTGGCTTCCCCATCCCTCCCACTGTCCCCTCAAGAATGGGGTTCAGCAGACCTCCAAGGGCAGAGCTGCCTGCTGGAGTCTGGGGTTTGGGCCCAACAGGGGTCGTGACTTCTGATTTGGAACTACTCGTTGGTGAGGGCTCTTGTAAGGGCCTTTTGGGGGAGCCTCTCAGGGGCACCATCTCCTCAATTGTAAAATGAGGGGGTTGTTCACATCTGTTGCTCTGTCTGGGATTCTGGGACAACTTCTGCCCCAGGGGATCTCTCCCATTCCTCTCTTCCCAGCTGGGCACTCCCAGCTGGCTGCCTGCTCTGGTTGAAGGGAGCCTGGCATGGGGGTCCTTGTGGGAGGAGGCAGGTCTGGGGGTGGGGAGAGGAGGCAAGCTTCAGTGCCTCAGACCCCTGCCGGCCCCTCCTCTGCCAACAATTACTGCCTGGTAAAGGTGAGCGGCTGGGCAGGAAGAGAGCCTTCCTGAAGACAGCCACATCCTGGCCTCCAGGCAGGAAGATCCATCTCAAAACCCTGGTCTGGGCTGAGCTACTCCCTACTGACGGCCTTACCACTTTCCCATCTCCCCAGATCCTCACGGCCACCGTGGACAATGCCAACATCCTGCTGCAGATTGACAACGCCCGCCTGGCAGCTGATGACTTCCGCACCAAGTGAGCCCTGGCCAGGGGGCTGGGAGGAACCGGGGCCCCCCTCCCCACCCCAGGACCGCAGTTGCTATGGCAAGGGCCAGCAGCTCGGGTGGGGGAGTCCACTGCTTAGTCATGGATGTGGCAAATGCAGCAAATTCTGAAGGCCGCTGGGCTTAGGCAGAGAGAGGGAGGCGAGGCAGGAGGCAGAGAAGAGAGAAGCTAGAAGCCCGGTGGGGGTGGGGCTTGGCCCCGCAGGGTCCCAGGGCCCTGAGGCGGCATTCTGCTTCCGCTCCACACCCCCACCTCCATGGTGCCTCACCAGCAGAGGCCGGATGCTGGCCAGGACCTGGGCCCGTGGGTCCAAGCATCGAGACTAAGTCTCTGTTTCCTTTTGCAGGTTTGAGACGGAGCAGGCCCTGCGGGTGAGTGTGGAGGCCGACACCAATGGCCTGCGCAGGGTGCTGGACGAGCTGACCCTGGCCAGGGCCGACCTGGAGATGCAGATCGAGAACCTCAAGGAGGAGCTGGCCTACCTGCGGAAGAACCACGAGGAGGTGAGGTGGTGGGGCAGCAGGTCAAAAAGGCTGCGGAGGGGGTGGCAGGGTTCTGGGGCTGTGCCAGGGCCGGGACCGAGGGAAGAGCACAGAGCAGGTGCTCCAGGGCTGGTCACCTTATGGGGCAGCCCTGTTTGTGGAGCCCTGACCCCCTAGTCCCTTCCATGTACCACCTTGTTTCCCTGAATCTGGGGACCCTCCCAGGGTCCGCAGAGGCCCCTTCTCCCCATCCTGGCCTCCCTCAAGAGGACAAGGGGTTAGTGAGGAGGTCTCCTTGTTCTAGCCCAAACCCTTGAACCTGGACCCTATGTGGAAGTTTGGGAATTCAAGGGGATGTCTTAGGTGTACTGGCCTAAGAATTAGATTTTATTTTTGGAGAGCCCTTTGGAGAGTCTAATGGGGGGGGGGGGCATAGAACCTGTCCTTAGGGAACCTCCAGTCTGATGGCAGAGGCAGAGCCCATGCAGAGCAGATGAACAAGAGTCAACAGGAGGGGCAGGGGGTAGAGGCAGAATGAAGGGGGGCTCCTTGGGAGGGGTCTGGAGAGTAAGAAAGCAGGACAGGTCCGCATGCCCACACCCACACCCCCTCCCCCACAGGAGATGAACGCCCTGCGAGGCCAGGTGGGTGGTGAGATCAACGTGGAGATGGACGCCGCCCCCGGCGTGGACCTGAGCCGAATCCTGAACGAGATGCGCGACCAGTACGAGAAGATGGCGGAGAAGAACCGCAAGGACGCCGAGGACTGGTTCTTCAGCAAGGTGGGGGCTGCTGCGGCCCGGAGGCCTCTCCCAGAGGATGGGGGGCAAGGACTGAATCCCGACTGATGCCCAGTACCTGGCATCTTGGGGGTGCCCTATCCTCAGTGAGCCACATCGACCCCATGGGATCAGGGTCACCCATTGCATCAACAGGCCAGGAGGTTTCTGGGCTTTGGAAAGTGGGATGCTGGTGAGAAGGCACACTGCCCCCACAGTTAGGTTTGGGAGGGGGCTGAGAGGCCCAGCGGAGATCAGGAAGGTGACCGTGTCCAGGGGAGTTATGGGGGGTGGGGAGAGCCCCAGGTGCCCGTGTGGGCACAGCATGGGCCCTGGGCTGATCATACGGAGGCCGTGGGTGTCATCTGACTTGGAGAAGGGATCCCAAGCTCACGCTGCACTCTCCTGTGTCCTGTCTGCAGACAGAGGAGCTGAACCGCGAGGTGGCCACCAACAGCGAGCTGGTACAGAGCGGCAAGAGCGAGATCTCCGAGCTCCGGCGCACCATGCAGGCCTTGGAGATCGAGCTGCAGTCCCAGCTCAGCATGGTAGGGGAGCTGCCAGGCCTGGGGTGCACCAGGGACCCTGGAGGGGGCACTGACCCCCCTTGCTGACCCCTGAGCCTCCTGCCCTCCTGCAGAAAGCATCCCTGGAAGGTAGCCTGGCTGAGACAGAGAACCGCTACTGCGTGCAGCTGGCCCAGATCCAGGGGCTGATCGGCAGCGTGGAGGAGCAGCTGGCCCAGCTGCGCTGCGAGATGGAGCAGCAGAACCAGGAGTACAAGATCCTGCTGGACGTGAAGACGCGGCTGGAGCAGGAGATCGCCACCTACCGCCGCCTGCTGGAGGGCGAGGATGCCCAGTAAGTGGGGGCGGGGGGCCAGGGGCCAGGGGCTGGGGGTCTGGAGTGGGGGTGGAACTCTCAGACCCAAATCTAATCTCCTCTTTCTCTCTCTCTCTTTTTTTTTTTCTCCAGCCTGACTCACTACAAGCCCAAAGAACGTAAGGATCTCGGTAGCTGAGGGTGGGGGTGCACGGGGCAGGCAACCCATCTGCTCATTGCTGGGGAGAGTCCCAGGACCTGCAGGGAGTGACGGCTGATCCTCAGTAGGGGTGTGTGTAGAAAGGGACCTGTTAGGGCTCAGGACTGATGCTCAAGGGAATCAGATGAGGGAGACACTAGTCTGATGGGGGCAGGGCAGAGAGATGGTCCTTACCCTAGAGATCCTAGTTTGGGGGCAGAACTGGTCCTAGCCCTGGAGACTCTCCCCTGACGGGGAGATTAGGGACATGGTCTCTCGTGGTCTTTGTTCTTGAGAACCTTACAGATGAGCAGTCCTGACCGTGGGATCTGTAGTCTGAAGGGAGAAAGGGACATGGTCCTTGCCTTCTAGATCCCAGTGTGATGGGAAAGATAAGATCTTGGCCCTGGGGAATCTAGTCTAATGGGGGTGATGCGGACCTGGTTCTTGTCTTGGAGATCCCAGTCTGGAGATGAAGGAGACAGGAGCCTAGCCCATGCCCTGGAGACTGCAGAGAAATAGAGATAGACCCCATTGGGTAGCACCCAGTCTTGCAGAAGGACACAGTGGGTCAGGATCAAACCTCCCATCTGGGAAGCTGGACTCCTACAGGGGCACTGCCACAGGGAGGGGATGGGACAGGGAGTGGCAAGAGCAGGAGGGACGAGTGTCTGGATGTGATATTGAGAGGTGAGAAGAGGCAGGGACTGCAAATGGCTGTGGCGGGAGAGCTAGCTCTACTCAGGGAACTGGGGGCTGAGCCAGGGTTTCTCCGCCCCCACCCCACCTCGGAGTGTCTGTCTCCTGCAGCCGTGACCACACGCCAGGTGCGCACCATTGTGGAAGAGGTCCAGGATGGCAAGGTCATCTCCTCCCGCGAGCAGGTCCACCAGACCACCCGCTGAGAACTCTGCTCCTCCTGGCCAGCCCCCCAGGCTCCCCCACTGACCCTGTAGCCTCTGGATTCCCCAGCCTCAACTCCTGGCTTAGTCCCTTTTCCATAACCCCTTGCCTGACCAATAAAGCTTATTGACTCATATGGAATTCATCCTGATTGTAGCCACTGAGGTGGCCCTAGTGAGCAATGGGTGAACTGGGGGAAAAGTGGACACCAACTGTTGTTGACTTGGAGGTCAAGGGTGGTCTAGGATCGGGATAAAGAGTAGGTCTGGGCAGGGCTTAAGGGGCACTTTGCATCTCCGAAGGGTCAGTGATCCTTGGGAGGGTGGTCCAGGCAGTGCCAGACCCAGGGTCAGGCCAGCATACCCGGCGAGGTCCTAGGTGGCCTCTTCTTGCCCTGTAAGTAGGTTTTCTCATCCATAAATGGCTGAGGAGATGTCAGGTGGGAGCCAGAGTCCTAAAGGATGACGCATTCAGTCAATTGCTCCAAGAGGGACATGCCCTTCTCCAAGAGGGGGCAGGGGGTGGGTGGGACAGGAATCAGGATCCTCCTGGAAGAGGCAGGAGCATAAGGAAGGTGGGGGAGGCAGGCGGGGTGGTTAGGGCCCACGTTCCTTTGTGAGTCTCAGGAAATCCCCAAAAGGGGTTGTGGGCACCCCTGGGGTACTCCTTCTGCCTCACCCCAGGAATATGAACTGTAGTCTAGGCTTCTAGAGAAGGCCGAGGGCCCCAGGCAGGTGTGGGAGAAAGGGTGGGTCCTCTCTCAGGGATGTTTCCTCAAATGGTCAGCTGCTGCTCAGGATGGGGCCCGGGGAGAGTGCCAGGATTGCGGGGGGGGGGGGGGGGGCGTAGAGCAGCACCACCCTCCCCAGGAGCCTGGA